TGAGTCAGTTTTAAAACAAAAATTTGTGTGTTTCGCATTTATTAGTGTGAGTTGTACTTCTCTGTAATTTTGCACTGCACTCCCCTAGTTGGATTTAATTGTTTTATTTTATTTATTCATGATTATTAAGCAATTTTTTTTATTACAATAATTAAAACTTATCTTTTCATTTTCACTTTTACTTATAATTAAACAAAAAAATTCCTAATACAATGAGATAAGGGTAATATTAAAATATTAATGTTTAATATGTTTTTAGAATAAAAAATGAGATAATTAAATTCAAAAACCCCATTTAAAAAGTGAAATATAACTAAGTTTTACTGAAAAGAGTAATAAATTAGAACACTATCTGTACTCCCATAAATAATCATTTAGAAAAAAGGAAAAGAAAAGAAAGAAAGAATAGTCTGCCAAACAACATTGCCGCACCTATACACGAGACCGAGTTCATAAGGTAATCGTTGGCATGCACCCATAAATACCAATCAAAAGAATCGTGCACGTACCATGTTGAACCAAAAGCTATAGCAAGTGTGAAGGCACGTACAACTTTATAACTTTATTTCCTTATACCATGGTAGCGAAAAGGCTTGTATATATATATATATCACGAGTTGAATTGGGCATGAAGGCTTCGGAAGGTACACGAGAGTGCGAGACACCACAGTAGGTCGAGTTGTCAAGCATGAGATACCACACCCATACACGACAGCTGATCCATAAGTTGATTTCTGGCCCCAGAAAGGCAACAATTAACAATCAGTCCACTATATTTGACTGAATGTGAAAATTTTCTCTTTTGCAGGAAATGGAGTTGGAACGGGGAGACAGGAGACGCCTCGGCAATGGCAAATCGACGACCGGCTACAAGGACTTCGCTAACAGGCTGCCAGCTTTTGACAAAGGTTTACTAAAACAATGTGAGTCCTACCATTTCATCAATTTTCCTGAGGAGTGGGGAGCGAAGGAGCTGTTTTACTTCATGAGGAAGACAATGAAAGCAGGGAGGCTCTGGGATATATTCATTCCGAATAAGAGGGATAGAAGAGGAAACAGATATGGTTTTGCCAGATTTCTGGATGTCAGACATGGTCAAGAGATGAGGAAGCAACTGGAAAGTATATGGATTGGAAATAGAAAGGTGATCTTCAACCCAGCTGTGGAAAAAGGAGAAGAGAAACGCAGATGGCAAGCAAAA